GAAGAAAATAATTCAACCTCACTTCTTATATTCTAAAATTGCAAATCTTTTGCACTGATGACAGAATTGTTGCTAACAAAGCCACAAAAGTTTAGAGGGATATTTATTTTATGTGACACCCTGGATTGCCAGATGCCCTGAAAAAATAGGGAGACTTATTCACTTGTGTTTTACAGCTCTTTGGGGGAAGTATGGTCTAAATCTCCTTCTGCATACTCTTAATTTTTCCTTGTGAGGTTTTGAATGCTTTCAGATAGTGAAGGGGGCATGGATGACAAGTGAATTTTGTTTGTGGTCCAGCCCTGATGCTGTTTAAAGTAATTTGACTTTCCCTGAGCTGATCTCTTGCCTACTGTAACTTTATCTATAACCATCTGTAGAGTGGCACTAATTTAAGGTTAAAAAAAATAATAATTTGAGGTATTGTAGAGTATTGCTAAGAGCACAGAGCCTATACAGTAGAGCTGTACAAAGACATTTTAATAAATCCTCAAAATATGAAGCTGTCTGAATAGCTTGGCTTTAAGATACTTGGATTGTCTTTAAAGCCAACTTTGGTTCGTGTGGTTAGAAGAGTGGGAGAGGAGAAGCAGAAAAGAGACAAGCTTTTAAGAAGATTTCAGTGATAAGCCTCCAGGGCACGGACTGGTTTAAAAGCAGTCTGTTGACTGAAACTAGGCTGCAGTGATAGTTGTAGCTTCTTTGTTTCCAGTTTTCCTTGCTTTACCTTCAAACTGATTGTAAGGATGTGATTTATCATAACCTGTCTTCAGCTGTTTAAAACTTATATGCCTAGGCTAAGACGATCACTTGGTCTCCCTCTATAGTCACCAGAGTGAGGTAGATTTGATTTTGACACCAGTGTTTGGATAAGACGAATTGCCTGTTGGCGAGGTGTAGATGACTCCATTGGCTCTTGAGGAAAACTGGAGGAATACGATCTATAGCTAAGTGGCTTGATTTTTAGGTGGCTGAAGCTAAGTGCAGGGAATCTCACCCAGAGCATCTTATTTGCTAACATTGATTCTTCTCATCTGAAGAAGAAAGTACTCAGCGATGAGAAGCGACTCTAAATCCCCAGAATCCTGTCTTCTGTCCAATACGCTGCAGCTTTATTTAATCTAGAAGTACTTTTCTCCAGTTTAATCAGCCTCTAGTCTGCAGTTGTCGCTTCAGTTACCTTGAAAAAAAGCCTAGATAATTATTGCAAATAGAAGGAGAGCAGTAGTTACTTCTTGTTGTGTGTGACCAGACCAGACAGATTTGTTACGGGTTTTTTTTCTTCCCATTTTTTTTATATTTAATGTTTGGGAAAAATATTGCATAATCTTACTCTTTTATTAGTGTGACTGTGAACACAAGTGAAATTCCTTTGGGATTCTGCTGTGTTGCTGTGTGAGTTGTGTGATATCATTTGTACTTCGAGTGTTTATGATCATCCTGGTTTCAGCTGGGATAGGCCTAGTAGCTGGCACAGTGTTTTGGCTTTAGGATGAGAAAAACTTTGATAACACGCTGATGTTTTAGTTGTTGCTGGTCACTGCTTACACTGAGTCAAGGACTTTTCAGCTTCTCATACCGCCCTGCCAGCGAGCAGCCTAGGGGTGCACAAGGAGTCGGGAGGGGACACAGCGGGGACAGCTGACCCCAGGGGTATCCCCCACCCCATGGCATCATGCTGAACAACAAAACTGGGGGGAGCTGGCTGAGGGGGGGCGGCCCACCGCTGGCTGGGCATCGGTCAGCCAGTGGTGAGCAACTGCATTGTGCATCACTTGTATATTCTTTTATCTTTATTATTATTTTCCCTTTTCTGTGCTATTAAACTGTCTTTATCTCAACCTGTGAGTTTTACCATTTTTCTGATTCTCTCCTCATCCCACTGTGGGCGTGTGGGCAAAGAGCTGTGTGGTATTTAGCTACCTGCTGGGTTAAACCACAATGTTTTAAAAGAGAAAAGGTGAATGCGATGTATTATGCTGTTTCACTTAACCAGTAACATGGAGCAACTTTTCCTCTGCACCTTACCAAACACAAATCCCTTGGTTTGAGAACATGCTGCAGTGCTTGTTTTAAATTTAGTTAGAAGCAATTTGTAGCTGTATTAATACACATCATTCTAATGGTCTTTCGTCCTGGGAGCATCTGGCACAGGCATAAAAATTGAATTTTCTCCTGAAAGCATGTACAGCTGCTGGGACTGTGTTGAGGTTTTTATTAGCAATAAACTGTGAATAGAAGCAATCAAAAAGAAAACAAGAAAAAAAAGAAGCAGGGGGAATGTGGGGGAAGGAAAAAGAATTGAAATGAAATGGTGCCCTTTGCCCCAAGGCTAGCCATTAGTTCCTCTTAATGAAGGCCTTTCCTAACTATGCAGATATTCCTTCTATGTAATTTTTTTAATGGATGCTTCATTATCTTTGATCTTTATTAACTTCAACTTCTGTGCCAGTGATTCACATAGCTCCTTGTTTCCTCCTGGCCAGTGTCACCACAGTCATTTTGCCCAGCCCTCCTTCAACTCCAAGTTTTGTTATGTTATTACAAAAAAAAGGACTGTGTGTTTTCTGCAAAGTCTGTTTCCTCTGCCACAAATCTAGCATCTGGCTTTTTTTAATGTCCAAACCTTTCTCTAAATCTACAGGAGATGTAGTATGGTATACCTTTTATTTTCGCAACAATAGTTCTCTGCCTTTTAGCTCCCTGACTTCTGACTTGATTCTCATCAGAATCATTTTTGTGGCCTGTCATTCTGTATCTGTCAGCTGCCCTTTCATCCCTTCAGATTTCTGCCTGGCTTTGCACAGATGTATGAGGCATTTTTGGATAAGACCATTCATAAATCCTCATTACTCTCTATTTTTTATTTTGCCAGTTTTCACTCTTGGCCCATTTCAGTAATGATGGAACTTAGTGGAGTCATGTAGAAAGACCTATTTGGTGGCCTTTCTACATTCCTGGGAGAAGTAAAGGCTGGAAAGGACGCAGTGATCCTTATTTTAGGGGAAATGTTCTTGTCTGGGGGTTTCTTAGCTTGTAAATTTTTCAGTGATTTTTTTTTTTAATTGTTTGACTGGATGTATTTATCAATCTGAGAGGTTGATATCCCCCTGCACTATTTTTTTGAATATTTATTATGCTATTAATGTTCCATTAAGCAGTTTGTATTTCAGGGTGACCAAAAACTTTCTATTTTCGTCTCTCTTGTCCTGATGGGACAGGATGAAAAAAATAAAATCTTTTAGTCAGATGTAGTTAGTCTCCATATAAACATTAAAGTTGTACTAATTGCTAGTGGTCTAGTAACAAAAAGGTTACCACAGTCATCTTATTAATGTAAGGGCATGTTATATTCCCTTTTCATTAAACTTGGAAGTTTTCCCGCTCTTAAGTAGGTTTATTCTGCAGGTTTCACATAATAACTGTGCAAAAGAATGCCTTTTCTTAGGTGCAGCTGGTTTTCTTTCTTTGATTATTTTTCTCCCTGAATAATTGTTCTCTGATGTGTCTTTAGTCTCAGTTTGTGATGTCTTTTTCCTGATTGTTAATATTTACATAGATATATTTACCTGTAACCTTACCCAAAAAAAGCCAGTTAACCTCTTGGATGTTATGATCTGTTGATATTTAAATGGGATATGTTGTACATTTACTTTTTGATACGTTTCTGCAGCACATGTATGGGCATAGGTTGGGCTGTCAGTATTGCACCTGCGTGCTCATGAGAAAATATGGTGCCTTCTAAGCTAAGAGTAACAGAACTGCTGTATTAGGTGAGATGTATCTAGCCTACTGTGATATTCTAGTGGTGGGTTGTTGTTTTCCATTACCTTAAAAAATTATCAAGAAAATTAAAGGTCATTTTTTAATTACCTCTGAATTTAGTAATGTTTACACTTAATTACAGAAAAGGAGAACTTTAATATCCTGATATGTAAAGAAAACAAACAGTGAAATATTACTGGATTTGTAGGAGAGAAAGATGGTCCTGCTAGCTCTGCAATAGTCTGTTTCTGAATTTTGAAAAGTAAAATTATTTTAGAATTATGATTGGAATTGGATTTTGTGAATTTTGGCACTTGTCATTGTATGGACTCCAGAATGGTACTTCATGCTGTTAATACCTGCTGCTTTTCAGAAATACCAATGGCATCAGAAACATGATTATATTGCAGGATGGCTTTCCTTTTTATTACAGAAATTCACAGGCACAGTCTGTGACAAGTCAAATAAAGAAAAGAAAATAGGGAAGAAATATCTCTTGTAGTTCAGAATAAGAGTTTTTTTGGGTGGATTTTTTATTATGCCAGCCATTTATAGAATAGAATTTACATTGTGCTTCAGGAAAGAGTACTATGGGGTAATAATCATGGATCATGATTTGAGATATAAAAGAGTAGATGTTACAAAAATAAATAATAATGAGGGAAAATAAGGATAATAAAAGCAGTGAAATGATGTCAAAGCAAGCAGAAGAGGTAAGGCAAGTTGTCAGAGACTTGTATTTAAAGGAAAAAGGCGAGATGAGAACTTGAAAGTAGGACTGAAGTGTAATTTGGCTGCTCTGTAATTCTGTGTTCCCCAATCCTACAGATCATGCTGTGAACTACTGAAGTTCCTGGCCTTGGTTTGTGATAGTTTTGCTTACTAGGGGGAACTTGAAAGACAGAGATTCCACATGATTTCAGGGAAGGTCCTTAAACTGGGGAGAGATTTCTGTGGGCTCTCTATAAATACTGAACCGTGTATTTACTAAGTGATTTTCAAATGTCCTTGTTGTTTTAATCTTTCTCATGTTGTTAACAATATGGAACAAGATAGAGAGTAATTCACTTGGGTTTGTTTACATTTTCAAGAGAACCACCAGAACATTGTTCCCACCTAAGCAGAATTTCTTAGAACCTAATTAGAAGAAGACTTGACAGATCTGCTCCCCCAAACCAACCAAAGCTGTTGTGTTCCTGTGGTCTTTATTCAATATTTTGTATGCTCTCTTTTAGGTGGCCAGTGCTTCTCTTGGGGATGGAACGAGCATGGGATGTGTGGTGATGGCACAGAAGCAAATGTTTATGTCCCGAAGCCAGTCAAAGCTCTTGGTTATGCAAAACGGATCTTAATTGGATGTGGGGCAGGACATTCCATGGTTCTTTGTCAAACTCCAGATTAGATTTAGCACACCTGAAATCACAGCATCATGGATGCAGACGGACATTTTTGGATCGCGCAGCTCAGAAGTGCTGCAAGAGGATTGCCCGTGATTAACACGATAGTTGGAAAGTGCAGAAGGTTTTTTTAAGACTAAAAAGAAGAAGTATGCATAGAAAACTGTAACGTTTTAAAAATTGTTTAATGAGTCCTTTTCACAGGGATTTACTTTCTTACCCACAGATAGTGACAGACATTTTGCCTTGATGCAATACTATTGAAGAAAGAATTACTTGTTCTTCTGAGAAGCCTTTGAGGAGGAAATCAAGTGCTTAATTGCTTATTGTTGGTGTATAAATTCAATCTGAGGAAATTGTCTGGAAAGGTGGAGACACAGGGCCCCTTGTAGTCTTTTATTATTGTATCTTTATGTCATGATGAGCATGTGTTGCACCTGCCAACTTCTGCTGGAGTTGTAAGCTCCCAGCATCTCAGAAAATCCAGTTTGCATCACGGAGCAATGCCAGTGCACATAAATAGATGCAGACACACATTTTAAAAAGAAGATTAGGATTTTTAAAAAAAGAGAGGTATAACTTAGAAGGCTGGCAAAAGAGGAAAATGAGGCCTTTCTGAACTAGCTATATCTTGATTAAACTGTGAAAGGAACAATATTTCTGATAAATTATCTTCTGTGCCAGACATAATTTTATTATGGATTTACAGGGATGCAGATCTGCATGAACTATCATTAACTTGCAGACCAAACCTGAAGTTCCTGAAGCTACTGCTCAGGAAAGAAGAAATTCTAAGAGATCTTTGAAACAGTAGAAAATAGGAAGACATCAAAATTTAAATAGGAAGTTTTTACAAATCCTCCAGCCTAAAAGGCAGACCACAATGCCTCTGATAATTTCAGGTTAGTTTTCACATCTGTTTCACATCCCAGCTGAGCTACTGTTCAGAGCATGCCCATAGTACTTGTTCCAGGTGAGTGCTTGGCAGAGAATGTCAGCCTAACACTTGTCTTGGTAGGAGAAATGAAAAAATGCAAAATATCTTCAGATATTATTAGCTGCCTATGCTGAGCAGGATTCTGGAAGCTATTTATGAAACTGTTTTTCACACAAATACAGTGGATGCCATTAAACTGGATGTTTACCACCCACGATAGTTACATTTGCTGTGGCGTTTGATGCATTTCAAGTTCTAAATATAGAGAATACTACTGTGTGGTAAATGCACCTTTTAATGAGACCTAGTGTTGCTAAACAGTGGTTTAGTTTTTAAAGCAAGCTTGCCAGGGAAGAAGCCTTGCAGAATTAAAAAGTGCTCAGAGACAGGCTCTTAGGAAAAAGGACAGGAAGACTTTCTAATGATATATCAGCTTACACATGGGGGAAGGAATTAAGGAGGTAATATGGGCTGTGAGGGGTTTTTTCCCCCCTTGGTTTTACAGCAGTTATAGTTTATGGCCTAATTTTCAAAGGCATTTTCTTTTTCTGTTTAGTGGATGAGAAACTTGAACTGTCTATGAAGCTGATTATAACAGTTGTATTCTAGATACTGAAAGAATCTGTATGAATAATCTAATGGGTCCTCTGCGAAAGTGCAGATTTGAGACTTCTATTGTAAAGTGTTTTTTTAATCCATGGGTTAGTTGTGGTTCTTCATGGCAATATGCTGTTCCGGGCTGTGACCCCTTGCACTTGTTATTTATCAAAACTGCTATTTATGGACTCCCGGTGCCGTTTTCTAGATACCGCAGCCTCTCTATTATACGCACTGAACAGTTTTTCATGCTCTTTTTGACAGTCATGTCTGAGGTTTCTACCTTTGTTCTACTACAAAGTCTGTGTACCAAATAAACATGTTGTCTTGTTTCATTAATCATACCCTCTAAATAATTCTGTTTCTTGATTAATCTCAGGTAGTATGTGTGCCCTATAACATAGGGATTACTGTACTGAGCATATTTTGACTGTGTATGCTATTCTGCCGTTCATTTCAGAGGAATCCAACAAATTCTGTAACAAATAAATGCAACTTGATTATTTGAAATGTCATTCACTTATTCACATCTGTAACACGAACACGCTTTTGGAAACGCAAAGAATGAAGGGGTACTTTTGGTTTGTTCTTGGTCCTGATTTTGTGTTTCACGTCTGCATCTGATCTTCATCTTTGAAAGGGCTAGAACCGAATTTTCGTTCCTTTGTTTCACATATATAGATCGAAAACTTTGGGAAGTAATGACTTGTCTTGAGAGCTTGACATACTAAATTCTTTGTCATCAGTCAGGACTTCTAGATGATGCTGTAGTATGAAGAGTGAATAATAATTCATTGTAGATGGTACATGGTTGAGTGTCAAAAACAAGTTGTTGCTCATTCATTCAGAAGTGAATGCCCTGTTTTGTATGTCAGTGTGCTTTGTTTGCAGAATAAAACATGGTACAAAATCAGCTAAGGCTTTCTGCTGCAAGGAAGGGAACACACGGTGAAAAACTCCTAATCAAGTGGAGAAACACCCTTCCTTGCTGGTGTCCAGAGCTTGGTGACTGTTGCCTCTTGATGTCCCATGGAGAAGGTCAGTCTCTGCAAGGCAAAATGTAAAGTCCCTGTACTATGTCAGTGCTTCTGCAGTGCATGCAAAGACGGATTTCTTTATGCAGGTCTTCAGTGCGAAACCAAGCAAGTCTTTTACGTAAGCATTCTGCATTCACGTTCAGTTGCAAACAAACTGACAAGGTTTGTAATACATACAGATATAACGCTGGAACAAGGTAAGCTAGTGTCTGTGCAGCTGCTCTCCCCGCCTGCTTTCTGAAAATATGCAAACCTATCAATGAGCTGACATTCACGAGGGGGAAAAGGTGAACTTAATATCACAGCTTTTCTGGAGAACAAGTTGTGAACTGTTGACTTTCAGTCCAGAGAGTTTTCAGGCTCTTGGGTGGAGGGGGAAGGGAAACTTGTGTGTACTTCTGCTGTGTGAAGTCCTGGGAGATCCGCAGTTGTTACTCAGCGCAAGACAATCCTGTTCCATTTTAAAGCACGTTGGTAGGAAGGTGTGTGTGTTGTGTCTGAAGTTTCTATCTTTTGGAGGATTTGTTTGGGCTGCTTAGCAGTCACTTGATTTATTTGACTTTGTGTAGCATTCCTGAGTGACTTGATACTTTTCTGCTTAGAATGCTGGACCCTGTATTTGAAGTGCATTCATCTGAAAGAAGAATTCAGTCCTATCTTTCTTCCTATTTGCCCAGTCACCACTTCTTACATGACACTGGCTTCCCTCCCCCAACTGCATGTTGTCGGTCCTGTCGGTGACTAGTTCTTGCCATCTGCAACTGCCATGGAGGTCACTTCTGCATGAGTGACAAGAGGTTTGCTTGGCTACATGGCTGAGCATGGAGAAATTGAGGAGGAGGGGAAGAATGTGATTTGATTTTGCTTTCTATGACATTTTTTGAGTCATATAAGACTTGAGGATGGAAAACAAAGGAGATCAGTTTGAATATATGGGAGAAAGGTGACCATGCAAAAACATGTAATGAATAGCAGTAGAGAGGCTGATGTAGTTAGCTAAATCACAGGGGAAAAGGAGGGTGGAAGGGGAAGATGGATTCAAGATACAGGTCATGAAGACTGAATAATCACATAAGGATAGCAGCATTGCAGCCTGCCAGTATGGTCGGAGTGAGATGAGGGACAAGCTATTCTATTTCTTGGATGTTATTATTACCCGTCTCCCACCATTTATTAATAATAATATGAATTATTGACCTGCAATGGTTTAACTTATTCATAGAACATTTGAAATTTCCAGTGCTCTTCAGTTGTAACAACACCTGTTCTCACCCTCCAGTATAAAAAAATCTTTAGATCAGGCCTGTGACCTAGTCCAGCACTTAATCATATACTTACTATTCTTTCCATTAAATTTCTCTGAATCTGTTTTAAACAAGACATAAGTAATTTTGCAACTTCCACTTTTTTTCTCTGTATTAGAAATTAAGACCGATCTTTATCATTGCAATTATGATGTTTCCACCAAAAAGTCCCCTGTGTTCTCTTAGTAATTTTTGTATTTTGATGGCATATAGCAAGTCTTGTGCTTTTTGTTTTAGGTAGATATTTTCTTAAAAAAGGCTTCAGAATTTTCATCAGTATTTGAGTCATGCTTGTGGTATTTACTACTAGCTTATAGTTCAGAGCAACTGAAAATTCTGTAAAGGGAACAACTAAATACTGAAGTGGAAACCTAAGTCTTCCTTCCCAAAGGCTGGAATTGGATGCAGTCTGTGGTAGAGAATCATTTTGTGTGGTTTTGATTGCAATTAAAAATGTGCACAGTAGAAAAGTGGAGCTTACATTGAAATTGCTGAAAACTCTAGTTGACACAAAGCTAACTGGACACTTGAATTTTTGACATACCAGTATCATAGAATCATATCATAGAATATTTTGGGTTTAAAGGGACCTTAAAGCTCATCTGGTTCTACCCCCCCTGCCCTGGGCAGGGACACCTTCCACCAGCCCAGGTTGCCCACAGCCCCGTCCAACCTGGCCTTGAACCCTTCCAGGGAGGGGGCAGCCACAGCTGCTCTGGGCAACCTGTGCCAGGGCCTCAGCACCCTCACAGGGAAGAATTTCTTCTTTATGTCTAATCTAAATCCTTCACTTTAAAACCATCACCCCTCATCCTATCTGTACCCACCCTGATAGAGTCCCTCCCCAGCTTTCCTGTAGCCATTTAAGTACTGGAAGGCCGCTCTCAATTCTCCCAGAGTCTTCTCCAGCTGAATAACTCTCAGCCTGTCCTTACAGGGAAGGTGTTCCACCCCACTGATCATCTTTGTGGCCTCCTCTGGACCTGCTCAAGCAGGTCTGTGTCCATCTTATGTTGGGGCCCCAGAGCTGGACCCAGCACTGCAGTGGGGGTCTACACAAGAGTGGAGAAGAGGGGGAGAATCCCCTCTCTCGAGGGACCACACTGCTCTTGACGCAGCCCAGGACACATTTGGCTTTCTGGGCTGCGAGCGCACAGTGCTGGCTCACAGTCAGTTTTCCACCCACTGATACCCCAAGTCCTTCTCCTTGGGGCTGCTCTCAACCCACTCCCCACCCAGCCTGTATCTCTGCTGGGATTGCCCCGACCCATGGGCAGGACCTTGCACTTGCCCTTGTTGAACTCCACGAGGTTTGCACAGTCCCACCTCTCCAGCCTGTCCAGGTCCCTCTGGATGGCACATCCCTTCCCTCCAGCGTGTTGGCCACACCACACAGCTTGGTGTTGTCAGCAAACCTGCTGAGGGCGCACTCAGTCCCCCTGTCCATGTCTCCAAGATGTTATTTAAGCAGTCTAGTCCCAATACTGACCCCGAGGAACACCTCGCATCACTGCTCTCCACTTGGACATCAAGCTGTTGATTTAAGTGCAGAAAAAGAGTTACTACATGCTTTGTCCTTTTCGCTTTGTGCTATTCTTAATTCCTGATAAATGCTGGTCTTAGATGTTTTGCTCCGTGTTGGAAAGAACGTTTTAATAGCCTTGAATTAAAATGCTTTGATTGTATGGAAATGGCCTTCTGTGGTTCAATGTCCCAAAAAATGACTAAGAGAGGTGTTTACCATATGTGCCTTTGAAGTTAATTTGGAGAAGCTGCATGTGTGAAGCTTTTGTTATTTTGTAACCTGTTTAGAGGTTGAGGGACTCAAGTAAGGCACATCAGCTCCTTTGTGCATTTCGTTCAGATTCTTTCCTCAGTTGTCTCTGCATTCACCTATTTTTTAATGCAGAAGCAGTTTTTACTCATCAATGACTCTG